CGTAAATATTATATGAATCTTCATTTTCTTTAGTATTTTTTTGTGTTTTTAGTTCGGCCTTGCTCCAATCATCCACACCTGAGTCACTAGAAGCACAATCATGCGTGATACAAAATCTTGAACAATATATAATATAATTATAGATTTAATAAAATGAAAATTGTTAATGATGAAAGTTTTATACTAATTAAATTTTTGGTCATGAATCTTCTTTTTGATTTTGAATTTATTCAAATTTTCATCCAAAAATTTTTTCAAAAAAAAAAAAAAAAAAGCAAAACTATGGTAAATTATTTTATTTACATTATTTCTTTACAAATAAATTAAAATTACAACGGGCATCATTATGTAAATAAATAATAAAAACATCAAAAATAAAAAAGAAATTGGTGGATAGAGAACGTTTTGGAACTCTCAACTTTCAAGATCACTCAACATTCATCAGTTGGCAACTGCGCCGACCTTAATAAAATGAAAATTGTTAATGATGAAAGTTTTATACTAATTAAATTTTTGGTCATGAATCTTCTTTTTGATTTTGAATTTATTCAAATTTTCAAAAAAAAAAAAAAAAATGCAAAACTATGGTAAATATTTTATTTAATTATTTCTTACAAATAAATTAAAATTACAACGGGCATCATTATTAATAAATAATAAAAAACTATAAAAATAAAAAAGAATTGGTGTGAGAGAACGTTTGAACTCTCAACTTCAAGATCACTCAACATCACATTGGCCAACTGCGCCACCACCCCATAATGTTTGCTGTCTCGGTTTCTCCTTTTATCTATAAGAAATGTGCTAGCCAACTACGAACCAATCCCAACCGAATTTCGAACTGACAGGAAAAACCGGCAATTCCAATTGGTTCAGGCTAGTTCTTGGAACCGCCGATTCACGGTTCTGAAAATGATGGAACCGAAACCAATCCGTAGGCCACAGTTCCAGTTTTTGGTTCGAACTGGTTCCAAACCGACTGTTCCAATTCCAAAAACCATATTGTGGCCATGTCTAATGCATGCATTTATAAAGGATAATCATAATCTCATTCATTGGGCTCGGGTAAAATATTCAACTTATAATTTCAACCATAGATTCAAATTTATCAAAATAGAATTAATGAAAATTGGATTCATGTAATAGGAGACATTCCTTAGCCTGAAAGATATGTGGCCATGAAATAGGGATTAAATGGAACCGAATTGACTGGGTGGTAGAATCGTGAAATCATCTGTTTCTTCCATATTTTGGACAAACCTCTCTTTTTCTTTTCTATTGCAATTTCTGGATTATTATATGATGATTCAATAATTACATATCCGAATTTACCTATGGATGAATATGCAAGCATACATTTCATGCTTGTTGTTTGAGTAATAAAAATTGAGATTCCCTTAAATAATAAAAATAATAACTATAACTACATATATATAATAAATTATTATTATTACATACATAAAACACCCTGAATTTTTATTTTTGAAACCTTTGAATTTTTATTAAATTAAAAATCAAAAATTTTGACTTTGTGGGCTGCGAATAGAATACAGTCTCGATTCGAGCCTAAATTTGCCAACTGGGCCCAAGCCTAAAAATATATTATCGGAATCTTCGATTTGAAAACACTTAAAAAAAAAAAATTTTTTTAGGAAATAATATAAAACTCCAGTTACTAATCCATTATAAAATATATTTATATATGTGCGATTATTATATGAATTAATTATCCAAAAATCAAGTATCATTATTAATACTATTGTTTTTTTTATTGTTATGGAGTAAATGGAGAAATGTTATGGAGATCTAACTAAATAAGTCAAAATAAATGAACCAAATTAATCAAAATAAATTGAACCGGACCCGAAATTCAAATTGATTTTTCGAAAACCACACGAATAACCTGAAAACCAAGTGAAAAACCTGCAAACCGAGCAAAAATCATGCCAAATCATTGAATCAGACCAAATTGGTTCGAATCGAACCAAAATGATCTAGAAACCGACATAATTTCTTTTTTCTTCCTCTCTTCTCCTTCTTCTTCTCCAGTCGCGCGACAGCCTCCTCCTCCCTTATTCACTGCATTTTCCGGCCATCGACCACAGATTCCGACAATCAAGCACCCAAACTGCAAGTGCTCAACGATAGGAACCCACCTATGGTCTCCGTTCACGCAGTAGACGCCAGAAACGAAAGGAATCATGCTCGAAGTGACGCTGCCCTCCGATTTCTCTTCTCCGGCGATTCTCGCCGTTTTGGGCAGATACAGCCGTCGAGAGGACCTTCGATCGACTCCTCTTGGTCTTGCGCGTGTTTTCCATCCCTTGGTTCCAACGATTGGGCTCCGGTGGTGAAACCACCATTGATGGCCACCATTGATATGGAGGCATTAAGCTTCGGTCGGCCGTTGGTGGGGCAAAGGAACCATAGACCATAGACTCAACAATTGGAGCATGGATTTGAGTTCTTGGTGAAATTTTGATTCTAAAGGTGTATGAAGTGCGTGATTCTGGGCAAGAACGACTTTCCGACCACCGTGCACGGCGGCTGGTGGCGACGGTCCGGCAACACTCCGACGAGGCCCCGAGAGACAGAATTCTCTTCTCTTCACACTGATCACGGAATCGTCGCCCGATTCTCAATTAGTACGTTCTAAGATCCAATTCTCAATTTTTGTATATAAAGAATTAATTGATTAATGAATTTAATTGAGAAATTAAATAGATTAAATTGAATAATAAGAAAAGAAAATTAGGTATTGGAATAGCTTAAATATATAAGACATCATAAGTCGTGTTGTAAATAAATTAATTAATTGAGTAATAAAGTAAATTAAATAGAGTTTGAACGAATAATCAATCAAATATAATTTTGCTAAGAATCAGTCGGTATAATGTAAATGCAAATTAGTTCTGCATATTGTTATATATATTTCATGACCATTAGTTACAACTAGAGGTTCGGTATTAAGATAAGAATTCCTAGCTAATATTTATGTAAGCTAATTTAGGAATTTTAATAAATATTGGTAGGGGAGGGTTATAATTTAAGGCTTAGACAAGTAAATAGTTTTAAAGCAATTAATAATGTCATTGAATCATGCTTGGAGGTTAATATAGGTTTTTAATTAGTTAATTTGGAACTATTAAGTGTATATATGTGAGAGTTTGATGGATGATACATGTAGTTGAAGCGGATGGGCTGTGTGAATTGATTGCCCGATGGATCGGCTGTGTGAATTGATTAATCGAATAATTGATAAATAAGGTTATGGCGGACGGAATGAGTTGATTTGAATTGCCCGACGGATGGGCTTTGATATTATATTGTTGAATTGTGGGTTTAGTCAAATTTTAGGGGAGGTGCTGTCGAAATTTCAATAGAACCTAGACTAGTTTTAATTAATGACATAATTAATAAGTTTAATTAGACTAATTTTATAACTTAATACATAATAAATAGAGTGCCCTGATTATTTATTATCTTTATTATTCATTGAATTATTTTCATTATTTTTTTTGTTATTATTGTTATTTATTTTGTTATCGTTGTTTATTGTTAATACTATTTATTTATTTATATTTGCATTGATTTTGAATGTTTAATTGTGCATTGTATTACGATGTTTAATTGATTAATATGTCTACATTTGATTGCAATGTTTGATTAATTGTGTTGTGATAATAATATGCTTTGTTTTGTTATGCTTTGTTTGTGTGGAATTGGGATGAAGTGGGTCACCATGGGTTTGTGAGACCGTTATCGTTATATGGATCCTTAGCTGGGTAAATGGGAGATCGGCGCCCCCGTGTGCACCTACTATTACCGGTAAATGGGAGATCGGCGCCCCCCGTGTGCACCTACTGTTACCGTTACCGTTAACCACGGGATGGCCTCTCGTCGTTGCGCACCTGATAGTCTAGATTTGATCGCAGCCCGCAGTGTGGCCTCCTGTTGTGTGCGCCTAATGATCTAAATTGGATGGAGACCAACGAGTTGCCTCCTGTTGGTATATATATGTATAAAAAAAAGAGAGAATAAAAGAGAGAATGGAAAAAAAATGAGAGGGCTGGTCAAGTGAGGATTAGACCGGTCGGCTAGTATGGGGGATCGGCTCCCTAGTGCACATGTGAGCGGATGAGCCATGTGGAAGGACGGCTCATCGGGGTTTCGGTGACGCCACTGACTAATTTCCACGTGATGTGATTACATGGATGTTAATGATTGTGGGTGCTGGTGGTATGTCATTTGTGTGACTGACTGCGTAAGCATATAACTAGTCGGATGACTAGATTGATATATTTATTCATTTGTGTGAATGCATGTGTTGTGCAATAAGTATTACTTCTTAGAAGGCTCATATATCTTGTTTAATTTTTCAGGAAATAAATTTCTCTTTAATTCGGTTAAGTTATGTTCCTTTGCTGCAGGGCTAGAAGAAAATTTTTCCAGTTTCATAATTATTTTACTATGTAATAATGTATTATATGTAATAAAAAGCTATGTATACCAAATATTATGACTCCGCAGAATTTACTTACATTTAGTCGTGTATTATCATAGACGAAATTATTTCGTGAGCCCATATTAAAATGTGATGTATTGTTAATTGGGCCCGAACTGTGGAATGTGGTAACTTATAAATTTGGGCCAAGATATAAATAAAAATATTGAGGTTTATTTTTCCTGTAGATGTGGGCTGAATGTTTAAATTTATATTGAGATAATAAATTAAATATGGGCTGAATGTTTAAAATTATATTGAGATAGTAAATTTTTAGTGTTTCAGGCTTACTACGGGCCTCGGGGGCCTTAAGCTTACCTGGCCCTAATGCCAGTCCGACCCATGGAATCGGGTCATGACAATACATGACACTCCTATAGTAATTGCAGATATCTATAGCTGCGGAGTTCAAATGGCATGTAGTATTAAATATCATAACTAAAATAATAATAAAATTTGAAATTACTTTTCTAGCTTTGCGATGAAGGAAATATAGTTTTAACTGGAACGATGGAGAATCTACTTCCAAAAAAATTAAATAAACAGAAGTGAGTTTTACAACTCAGTAAATAATAACAAATAATGTATATCACAAGCATTCACATGAAATGCTTCCTAATATACTAAAATGAACATCCAATCAGTTAAGCACGTGACACAACACAACATCCACATACAAGTAGTGGATGTTGGTAATTGGTCAGTGGTGTCACTGAAACTCCCGACGAGCCGTCCTTACACATCGCCCGCCCTCTCAAACGTGTGCACCGGGAAGTCGATCCCCTGTATATGGTCGACCGGTCTAATCCTCACTGACCAACCCTCTTTTTTTTATATATACTCTCTTTTCTTTTCCATACCAAAAGGAGGTCTGTGGTTTTTCATATCAAATATCATCAGATGTACACGGGGGCACCAATCTCCCCATACATGACCAACAGTATCAAAGACTACACTCACAAACCCATAATGACCCACTTCATCACAATTCCATACAAACAAAGCATATCGTTAACACAACACATCTAATCAAACATTTCATTTAAATGCAAGCACATTAAATAAATAAATAAATAAATATTATTATGTAAATGTACAAATATACATATATATAACATATATATAACTAAGTATAGAAGTACTAAATTTTTATGTTATAAAATAAATAAGTAATAATTAAATAAATAGGTGATTATAACATAATGTAGTAATGTGTGTATGCATGATGCAAAAAGGTAATGCACTATTTATTATTACTCACAGTGATCGGAGAGGATACAATTTCTCTTGGTTCAAAATTAATTTATTTAAAAAAGACTACAAATATTCTATTTATATAAAGTTATTCAAATAATCTAATTTCTTGTCATTTAATCATATCTACTTTAATAACCAACTAATCTAACATAAAGGCTAAAATATTCTATAAATATTAAATTCACACAAATAATTTAATATATCACTACCAAAATAAATTTACTTTACTACTTTAATAACCAACTAATCTAACATAAAGGCTAAAATATTCTATAAATATTAAATTCACACAAATAATTTAATATATCACTACCAAAATAAATTTACTTTACTAGTTAACTAGATTAAATTTCTAGGATAATGAAACTCATAATCATCCTACTTTCTATGATTTTTCAGCTTTAAAGCCGAATTTCTAAATTTTTATCAAATAATTATTTAAAGGCGAAATGAGGTTGGATTGTAAACCTATTTATATATATATAACCTACGGGAAGAGTACAAGGTTCTGGCCCATGTGAACACTGGTCACCGGAGCCACCGCCGGCGCTACCGTCCATGGTGGTCGTAGGGCTGATGGTTCCGAGATTTCTCAAAATTCTCCTATTAGTTGTAGTTTTTTTTTTTTACATATATGGAAACCAATTTCCCAGTCAATTTCGTCATCTAAGGCTTAATTACATCAAAACCCCATAATGTTCTTCAATTCAAAACCTAAGGTCTAATCCTTTCAAAACTTCACTTAATGATCAAATTAATTAAAGAAAGATTAACCAAGAGTGATAAGGATTAATTTCTGACTAACCTGAGTGAAAGGAGTCGCCAGAAAAATGTTTGAGCTCGCCTGAAGTCGAAGAGGAGGAAGCTGTTGAAGGAGACAGCTTCATTTCACGACACATGGGCCTCTCATCGGAGAGGAGGTCGGCGACGTGATTACTAGCGCCAGTGGGTTCGATTGCCATCTTGTTCCCGTCGAACGGTGGCCGAAAAACTGATCAGGTAAGGAGAAGTGGAGAAGAAAAGGAAAGAGAGAAATGGGCGGGGAGGAAAAATGGCGTGGGTTGTTTTTTGGGTAGTTCTAGAATCTAATTTTAATTTTCTTATTTATTATTATTATTATTAGTCAACAACTTGGTCAACAACTTCTCCAATAAGTTGATTTGGGTTTACTTAGTTTTGGGTTTGGGTTATTTGGGGTTCTTGCATAAATCAAACCAATTTAAATATTGCATAATAATTTAATTCACAAAATAAAATTTATTTTATTTTTTTTAATTAAATTTAATTTGATCAGTTTTGAAAATAGCACGTTGAATTGTTTCAATCTTCCCTCTAAGAAAAATTCGTCCTCAAATTTTAGTTCAAAGGAGTAAAAGTGAACTCATAATTATATAGAATGAAGGTCGAGTTAAATGCATGTTTCAAAAAAAGGGAGCAAGTTCATCAATGATATAGATATTACTGAGAATCAAATGGAGGAAAGAGAGATGATATTTTTATCTCATCGCCGCCTTTACTTCTTATGAGGATACTGAATGATTCCTCTAAAGACGTTAATCGTAGGGATTTCTTCAAGTCGAAGTTTATGCTTTTGAAAAATCTAGAATGTCAACTAAAACCTCTTCCTAGGTCAAATCATAGTATACTTGGATATCCTATAGCACTTCCCCGTGGGAGAGGTATAAAAAAACTTTTCTTGAAAACGGAATGATTTTTCTTTAAGACCTTTACCACAGATGTTTCCTTAATTGATACTGGAAAATCTTAATATTTAGGATTCTTATTAACTATCATCCATATACTAAATCCTCATAGATTATATTACTTCAAATCTTCATAAGATGAAGTGGCTTAGAACACATTTTCTAGCATTGAGTTATAAAACATCAAGATGGATATAAGAAAAATTCTTTTATTATATCTGATTTGTATGCCACGTTAATTCTTTAATGACCTTGAGAGGGCAACTAAGTTTACTTTAATTCCTCTAAACTAATCTATTTTCAACTGTTTAAATTTATAATTTATTCATATTTTCCATACATTCAGCTTCTTAAGGTTTTAATTGTCTCACATATTGCAAAAATACTAGGTCCCACAGTGATATGGGGCATAATTTCTAGAGCCACAATCTTTATTTTAAATATTTGAAAGGGAATATGAGTTCCTTAATTATGGTTCTTCTAATATCGAAACTTTGCTATATGTTAATAGCATCTCCAATTTATCTCCTATGACTGGATTTCCTTCTCATTTACTAGTGCCAACAGTCAAAGATGCCTAACAAAGATTTAAGGTTTAGAACTTAACAATATGTAAAACTTATTCATAATACTATCCAACTTAACATAGAAGGCTATGATTTTATAAGTAGCACTTTTGAGGATCAAACTCTTATAATTTGGCTACTTCACATCTCACTATGTCAAGCATTTAAAAATGGATAACTAAGATCTTAAACATTAAGGTCATCAACATACAAAGGTTCCTTCAACATACAAAGGTTCCTTCCATAGAACCATCCAATATACTACTATATAAATTAAGGAGGCAAACATGCTCAAAATCCTCATTACAACACTTAAACTTCTATTTTCTACTATGTCAAACTTCTATTTTCTATTATGCTAAACTTCTATTCTCTATTATGCCCTTGTGCCACTAGCTTACTCCATAAGCATCATCATTACCGCAATGACAATAATTCTATTCTAATCATCTAATTACTTGGCTAGAGGCCAATCACATAGCAACACACGCTTCATTACTACTACTTGACCTAAATCACTAACTTCCTTGAATAGAAAGAGTTGGGTTTGTGCTCCTTCTCGAAGTGGAAGAACAATAAGTTCAAGCTGAGGCAGAGCATATGATGCACCAGACATCAGGTACATGCCCAAATAAAATTCATTGAGTTCACATAATTTATCCCTTTAGGATAGTCTCCTTCCATCCAAGGATAATGTTTTTGGTCTCGTAACTCATTCTACAGTTTTTCCCTGCAGACCAGTGCAATTGAGTCTATGGGTGTTGAAGGTAAGGTCTATGGAGGATATATAAGGAAGTCGCATTTGTCTATGCGTAAAGTTTGTCAATATGCGTTCTCTTTCTATCACCATTCACAGCTCATTTCTCCGCCTTTTAATAAGGTAGTACCATTTCAAAATGCCCAATTGAACAAATCATTGTTGGAGAGATCATTAAGGAAGTTGAACAACTCCACTGTAATTTGAAGGTTCGTGTTCTTAAGCATGCTATTTCCTCCAAAATTTAATTGGGTCACAATTTCGAAGTTCACAAGGTTTTGACATGTGGCTACATCAAATATTAAACTCTTCTTAGTTGAATCATTAAGTGATGGAATACCATGAATGCAATTTTAATTCATCTAGCTTCTGGCTACTTAAGGCTTTACTCATATACGGTGATAGTTTCAAATCTGAAACAAAAAGGCCTGATATCTTCGGATTTGTATTCACTTTATTCTACATGTTACTGATATGTCAATTTTAATGATAACTCTATTGATTATGCACTTTTAAGTTTGATATTAAAATAAGTCTATCTTGGATGTCAATTCCCCATATCACGGTTTCGCAGTGCTACTCTAATTAGCAAGTAGGTGCCTATTGAGTTTTACTCCTTTGAGCTTACAACCTTCCAAATAAACCATAATTATTCTAGAAGGAAGTTTTCCACTGCACATCCTCAGCTACTATTATTTGAAAAATTCCCAACATAATTTTCTAATATATTAAAACTAAATCTAATCAAGAGATCCCAGACTTGAAATAGGATTACTGCTATTGGTATTTTAAAATTTTTATTTAACGAACGAATTTATTACATTGTTTAAAGATGGAAAATCGTAATTGATGAATAAATCGACGGTGTATTTATAAAGCTACTTTTCTCAATTTCTCAAGTAATTAAAATCACGGAACTTTCTTAAAAATACACCAATTTTAATGACAAATATTTGTATTCAAATAACTTTGATGTTAATCCTTATTATAAAAAATGCGAAAAAGAATATTTTTCAACAAAATTTCAATGACATTGTTTAAATCACTTATTTATTATAGAAAACAAAGCACTTTAAATAAAATATCTTTTATATTAAGGTCATGAAACTTATTTGATTCAAATCCGACAATCAATAAAATTCACATCAAACTTCATGAATTCCTATTTGATTTTTAGAAATTATTTAATAAATATGTATATCCTTAACATTTAGGTTTATTTGGGAAACGACCCGAAAATTTAATTTCGTAGAATTTTCATTTAAAAACTAAATTTTTTATTTATTTCAACCATGAAATTATACCAGCTAGTATTTTATTATTGCTAAACTGGACCCGTAAACCAATTCGATTTTTCGAAAACCAAGCGAAAAACTCGAAAACCAAGCAAAATTTTATTATTGCTAAAACTGGACCGTAACCAATTCGATTTTTCGAAACAAGCGAAAAACTCGAAAACCAAGCAATTGACCCAAATCATAAGAATTAGACAAACCGTTCGAAATGAACCGAATGGTCTAGAAGCTTCAGAATTCTCCTTTCCTTTTCTTTTTCTTTTTTTTTCTTTTCTTTTCTTCTTCTTCCAGCAGCGTCCGACCTCCTGACCCTTCCTCCTCCTCCTCTCGTTTTTCCGACCGCCTGAGACCAGCGCCTCCTCGCCGTCGACACCTTGCGCAGCAAACACGGCCCTTGCTTTCCCGGCTCTCCGTTTCCGCTCTGTGAGCGCAAAAAATCAAACGGCGAGGCTGGACTTTAGCCCGATTCGAGATAGCGTCTTTCGTCCTTCTCTCCGAGCAACTCCGGCGACTATCGCCGGATAAGGTAAGCCGATTATCCTCCTCCTCACCTTTTGCAAATAAATTCGCATAAATTTCAAGATCTTTGTAGTTAGAAGTTTTCAAGGTACTGTTTATAATATATATAAAAAAAAAATAGAAAAATCTTGAAGTTAAACTACAAATCTAAAGGTTGTGAACTAAAGTTTTCTAGATGTTTATAAGTAGTATAGAGGGTTCATTACATACAATTTGTTTAGAGGAATTGAATAATCCTTTAAAAAGATGGCAGCAGTTAATGGTTATTTGCTTGAGTTTTTCACTATGATAGGGAAGGAAATCTTAAATTTTTATCATTCCAAATGAGCCTGCGACTGAAATTTTAAAACATGGCACAGCTATTCTCAATTATTTTATGTTTTGATGGGAAATGAGTGAAATTTGTGTATATATGTATAAGTCTAAGTTAAGGAGAACCTATTGCATTTGGTGGGGAGTAGCTATTGCAGGTAATCGTTGCCATTTTTATATGAACTAACCTAGAAATGGATATATTCTCAATATTTCTGTGATGGATACCATTGGTTAATGCTCTATAGCTTCAATCTTGTTAGGTAACGATTCGATGGTAAACATAATTTACTATAATCTAGAAATTGTATTTTTCGTGGCAAGATGAAGGAAATTTAGGAAGCTTTAGTTATACGTTCAAGTTGTGAGTTGGGTTACCTAATAGAAGGATTTATGAAATTGTAATTTAATTGAAGCATTGGTTCTTAGTAGCTAGTTTAGAATTTTAGTAAATGTTTAAAGATGTTGTTTATACCTTAAGAGCAAGGATTGATAAATAAAGGTTTAATAAGGAGTTTTATAACAGTTAAAGAAGCTAATTAACTTTAATGGATTAACTTTCTGTTTTATATGTATATGTATGGAAAGATTTCATTTATTTGTCAATTAGCTAAGAAGCTGATTATATTTAGTGAAGCAAAAGAATGTTCAATGATATTAATTGGGAATGTTTGAAGGTTATTATAAGTTGTTGAAAATTAATAGTTTGAATGTTGACATTATTATTTGGATGGAGGAAGGGAAAATTTACTGTTTTGATTGCCACGGATGGGCTGGTGCATTGATTGATTATATATTAATATCTTGTGATATTATAAACAGGTAGATTATGTCCTATTTTTAGGGAGATTACTGCCGAAATTTTTCGATAGAACATTAAGACCAAATTTTAATTAATTAACATAACAAATA